TTTTTTTTTTTTTTTAGCTTAAACCTACCTCGGTGAAGTCAAATCAAATGAATGAAGATGAAGTTTTTTATGAAGACGCTGATGAAGTTGAATCAACGGGAGCAAATATAACAAACCAAAATGCAGAAGTTGCAATAATGGTAAAGGAGATGTACTCAATGATGGAGAAAATGGAGAAAAAGTTTACCAATGGATTGTTTGTTTTGCTTGTTGTAATCCTTTTACTAATGGGCAGTGAATGAGCCTATGCTGTTCTTTGCTGAGTGGAGGTTTGAGGGGCATTGAAGTTGACTGAATCCTCAGTTGGTTGTTGCTGCAAAAACACAGAAGAAAGAAAGAAATGAAAAACTTAAAGCTTCAACTTCAATAACAAAACTGAAAAAACTAAAAATTGATTAACTAAAGGCTGAAAATTGAAGAACTGAAAGTTTCAAATTGAATAACAAAAACTGATAACTTCAAGTTAAAAACTGGAAGTTTACCTCATCATTATTTGCAGGGGCGGAGGTATGTTGAAGCATACTTGGGCTATAGCCCGGGTGACCATTTGAAAAATACATTCATATTATATAATAGCCCACTTCTTATTTCATAGGCCTATGCCCAAACAACTAAAACATTTAAATATAAATATTTAAATTACCATAATTAACTTTTGGAGTAATTTATTTGATACTTGTAAGGATTAAAAGTTAAATATTTAAATACTTCATTTCTCTTTTGGAAAAACTTTGTAAGAAATCTTTTTCCTGAAAAATACATTGTGAAAAAAAACTAATTTTTTATTAATTTATGTAATTATATTCTTGTGTTAATATTCTATAAATATCTTATCAGTTAAAATTGATATAATTTTGATGATCTACAAATAAACATTCATATTGAATTTAACAGTCTTGTTAGTAAGAAAATGAATTCCAAATAACGTTTTATCTAAATAGTTTTAGCGCGGGTAAATTTTTATTCCTGGCTCCACCCCTGATTATTTATACCAACTCTTTTGGTGCACCACCTCTTGTTATGATTATTCTCTCCACACACACACAATGCATCTTTAGATAAGCCCATTCCTGCTGCTATTGTTGCCACTGACCTCATGTCATTAGCATCAACTCTTTTTTTTTTTTTTGTTACCCTACCCCTCTTTTTCAGAGCATCAGGAGACTGAATTGGTCCCATTCCAGATTCTTCATATTCATTCATATCCAGAACTGGGAAGATCATATGGCTATATATCCTGATATACGTGTCCTTTTTCAAGAAGTCAGACACATAATCTGAGAAAGACAACCTATGATAAGTGATGCATGCCAATGCATGGCAACAGGGGTACCCAACCAATTAGAACATGCCACATGTGCAGCTCTTTGCTCTCAGTCTCAGTTGGACTATATGGCTATTTACTCCATGAACCACCTCATACTTGTCTTCTCCAGCCCAAGTAGGGAAACAATTCCTGCTGAATTCCCTTTGCTCTTCAGTCTTCCTGACTGTGTTTGGACAAATATCCTCTGAGTATTTTGCTATTTCTGCTTTCTTCACTTGGATCATTGCCATCATCCTTCTTCTGATCCATTCAAACATGTCTATAATAGGTATGTCCCTGGCTTCCAAGATATAATTGTTGAAAGACTCAAAGATACTATTGACAATGACATCACAAATTGCATTAAAAGAGAAGTTGCACCTTGCCCAATGTTCTTCAGGGACAACTTTCAACCATTTAAATGGAGTGACCTTGCCATCCTTCTTAGGGACAAAACTCTGGATTTAGTTCATTCACCTCAGATGCTCCTTCACGTTATATGTTCTAGCTTCCTTCCAAAATCATTTTCTTAATTCTAGATCCCCCCCCACTTCTGTTTAAAATTGTTGTACATATGTCTCAAACAATATCTGTGTTCTGCCCCATCAATTTCACTCATAACTTCAAGCAAACCCTTTTGTCTGTCTGAAACAAAAGTCCATTTCCTCTCTTTGTATGGATCTACATCTCTTAGTAGCCTTTCAAGGAACCACCTCCAAGAATCTGTATTCTCAACTTCAACATATTCCATTGCAATTGGTAGCATATTATCATTGTAATCCCTACCAATTGCTGAAAGTAGTTGACCACCATGAAAAGTCTTCAGAAGACATCCATCAAGACCTATAATTGGCCTGTATCCAGTCAGAAATACTTGTCACATTGCAGTTAAGCAAACATACATCCTCATGAACTTTGGAGGTGAAAAATCATTGTTCACCTTCAGTATTAGAGAACTACCAGGATTGTACTTGAATACTGTAGAACATTAGTCATATAGCCTCTTATACTGTTCCCCAAAGTCAGCATTCAACAGAGAAAGGGCATACACTTTGGCCCTGTATGCCTTGTGCAGACTGACATCAACCCCACAATGCCTCTTTATTTTATCTTTCAGACTTGCCAAACTCTCATTAGGATTGTCCCTTAGAGTATCTACCATTCTCTTTCTAAGATATTTGTAGTCTGCATGTGTGTTTTCTGTCCTGTAGGAGCATGTGTGTTTTCCTTTCAATGTCTTGATCTGAAAAGTGGACAGACCTTCAATAATTGAGGACCTCAAAGACCAGTCACCTACTTTTGCATTGTGCTGTGATGAGCTTGGCTTCATTCTTGGGAAACTTCAAATCATATCATTTTCTAACATACCAATATCTAATCTGTTGGATTTTGTCGTACGAATCAATCGCACATGCAGCGGAATTTAAAAAAAAAATTCTTACCAACAAGAAGATCCGGTTATAGCTATTCGATTTTGATCCTAGATCGTGAGAACTTACAGTTTAAGCTTTGTCTTCAACTATGGTATCCACGCAATCTAGATCCTGGTGCACGATCCAACGCAGTGAATCCTTTCTGGTGAAGACGCTAGGAATCCTCAGTCAGAAAGCCAAAGAGAGAGAGTTTGTGTTTTTACGGCGTATCTCAATTATCTAATCCCTTACAACTGATAAAGAGATACCCACCTTTTATAATTAGGCCAAACCTAATTATATGGGCTTTAGGATAACATATAGCCCAATAGGTAATTGGACCTAATCCAATTAATGATTTAATTAAGTCTAAGTCCAATTAAACTTAATTATATATTTTCTATCTAATAGAAAACAATCTCATTACTAAAATTAAATATTCCAATCTAATTGAATATGTAACACTCTCGATTCACTCTTAGCCGGAAAATAGATTGCATATTGTGTGACCCTATAGGCCTTCATATAATGACATAAATCTAATTTATGATCCTTACGAAACTCCTATACTGCGTCGAAGGACGAACTCAAAATATGAAGTACGTTTACATAGACAAAGCAAATAAACCTTTAGTGCAGAATTCAATAGTGATACGGTCCCTTCATTCACGAACCACTCGATTAAGCTTAGGACTTGAATGTGTGTCTATCCAAACAGCTTAATCATTTTATCTCATCTTACTGGTTGATTTTATCAATTACATTTGAACACTATTTCAAATATAATCATATGCACTGGCCAGTGACTTTATCAACCCAATATAGAGAAAATGAGTGTTCTCTCGAAACTATATTCGAGGAATGAATCCCATCTTGGCTCAACTACCAATTCCATGTATATCATGATCTACCCAACACAAGCCCGTGTCTATCCATAAGGGCGTAAGCATTGGACTAGGTCTAAGTAAATCACTCTATACATGAATTGCGTATTGACCTCAAGTCAAAGGACTATTACACTGTTCTACACACCGATACTCCCATAGACACATAAACAAATGGTTTATCGGTAAGGTATACCAATACTCTCCAAAGTATCCATGTGTCCATCACGAATAACAATTATTCATAGCAGTGAGACATACTATATTCTCTAAGAATGTGATGCAGACCACATGTCAATCTATCGCGTATTATTAATATCCCTTTCTTAATGAACATCGATTGAGGCAATTTAAGAGTTATACTCTATCGATTAACATCTCACTCAGTTAACGACAGTATGAACTCAAGGGAGCAATTAATTAATAAAACTGCAAACAATCAAACAATTATTTAATTAATTGCAATACCATAATTATAATCCAATATAATTATTAATGTGATCATGTATATATGTCCTTAAAAAGATTGTCTCTAGGACACATATACCAACATAATCACGTCATTGAATTTTGCTCTGCATGGAAATTTCTGACCAACTTTCAGCTCAAACCTTGACATATCAGTATTGTCATTCCATTCATCAGGCTCTTCAAAGCAATTGTCATCATCTCCAGCCTCACTGTACCAATCTTATTTTCTAGCCCCTTTGAGACCTTCAACTTATTCTCTTGCTTTTTTTTTCTGCTTTTTTCTTTGTTTCATCCATTCTTTTGTCCTCTTGTGTATCTTCTTAGCATGATCATAAACCCTCTGTTGGAAAATGTCATCATCATTAGGGCCTCAAATTCCCATTCAGATAATTCAGAGGACTCACCACTACCTTCTTCAGGTTCATACTCTGAATCCTCTGAATCTCCAAAATGATGTTCTGTCCCCTCTGCTTGTTGTTCTACCCCATCAATTTGTTGTTCTACCCTCTCAGAAGTTGTTCATCCTCCTGGCCAACTGTTTGAGATTTATCTTCACCATGTTGTGCTTCAGCTTCATTAAGTGGCCCATCTCTCTGACCAACACCATCATGTGAACCAGCATCATGTCTCTCTTTTGTAGGATCCACCTCATGTGAACCAACATCATTAGCATCTTTTGTAGGATCCACCTGACCAACCACATCTTGTGAACATGCGTCATGGTATGATTCTTTTTTCAACTGATTGCAAATCATCCTCATGTTGTGCTTCTTTATCACTCTGTTGTGGTGATGTTTGTTGGTCACAATACATATCAATTAGAATATCCTCTTTAGATTGTGGATATTTAAGAAATGGGATCTACTCTTGTGCATCCAACAGATTTTCCATCAATATCCAATTTTTGTAGAGGGCCATGCAAATCTTCAAAGTAAAGTGGGATGACATATTGCCCTGTATACTTCTTCACCGACTTCAAAATATCACTGTCATTGGCAATCTTAATCATCTTTGTTGTTTGTAGAGTTGTTTCATCCTTGTGTGAAAAAATTTCCACAATGGATGCTTTGCCACATGCCTTATTATACACATCCATTATCTCATACATAGACAACCTGTCCATGTCATAGTAGTCAACTGCAACTCCTTGACCACCAAAGTTGCACAAAGGGATCCCATTTTATCACGCCACCAACTCTAACATCAAATACAATAGCCATATTCTGCAATTCAACAAGTATGATATGATTAAAATACAAAATCAGGGACCAAAACATAAAAAAATACTTTATGCATCAACACTTCCAATGCATCAAAATCACAGAAGGACCCAAATTCTTCTTACAAAAAGCATAAATAATTTTCAGATTAAACCATTTCACAATAACCACAAATTCAACATAGATGTAGGATAAAGCAAACAACCCTAATTTTCAAATTATAAAACCCTGCAAACCGCTTCAATACTTTATACATATAGTGTGAAATGAAACAATTCAACCAACAAACAACATCAATACTTTTCGAATTAAGCAATTTCACACAAAGAGCACAACTCGACCTACAAATAGTATATAAATCACCCTAATTTCTAAATTAGAACGCCCTAATTCCTAAATCAGAAATCCCTAATTCCCAAATCAGAAAGCCCTAATTCCTAAATCAGAAAAACCTATTTTTCAAATAAAAAAAACCCTAATTTCCAAATCAAAAGCATGAAAGTTTACCAAATCAGAAGATATCGAATTTTTATAATTTTCAAATGAAGCAACCGACTTTCCTTAATTTTCAAATTACAAGCACGACGCTCGACCAAATACCCTATTTTCAAAACCACATAGCATAAGAACCCAAATTTTAGGAATGCAACTATTGGATTTCAAGGTAATAACCTTTAATCGTCGAAGATTCAAAAATTACCTTATGCGCTATCGAAAAATCGAGAAGAATGTCGCTGCAAATGGAGAACCCTAGCTTTGGAATATCGAAAATTACTCCTCCAATCGGTTCCAACCTTCAAGATAAAGAAGAACTTTGTTATGCGCCATCGATACTTCTACAAATTAATAGTTGAAAATCGGCAATTTTTTGGAGAATCGGGATGCTGAAAAATTGGAATTTTATCGGGGGAGAGAGAGAGGAGAGAGAGAGAGAGAGAGAGAGAGAGAGAGAGAGAGAGAGAGAGAGAGAGAATTTTAAAGTTAGAAATGAGGAAATTTCAGATGGGCGTGACTTCTCAAATGACAAGGGCATAACGAGACGTTCGACAAAAATGTAACGGTGTTCACACCCAAACATAAGTTGAGGAGTGTATGATGGCCAAAGTACAACATTAGAGGATTTGACGCAATTTTTAAAATACAGGAAGATAACACTCAGATTTAGTATAATACATGGAAGTTTGGTGCAATTAACTCGGTCCCAATCCAACTGATATTAGACACCAACAGTACGGGTGTACCCAGAGACCAAAAGAGGGAGGAAATTGGTCCAAATGACCTTCCCCAAAAACAAAATTGTTCAAATAACCCTTAACCAAAAGCCTAAATAAAACATAATTCAAAAATCCATAAAAACCGGGAAAAAGACAATTATATCCTTAAGACCTATTTTAAAGGAAAAATCCTAAAAACCCTAAAAAAATGAATAGATCAAATAATATTCCTCTTTGGGAAAATATTGAAAAAATTTGAAATAATCAAGAATTAATTCTTGAAAGACTTGAAAAAACAAGTAGAAATATCGAATTTCTTGATACTCTACTATTAGAAATTCTTGATATCGCAGCAAAAGCTGACAAAATTATTGAAAATATTAACAAAATAAATATAAATAGGTTAGAAGAAACTTTAATAAAATTAGACGAGAAAATTCCACAAAATTGAACCATTAGTGGAAAATCCAAGCAAAGTAATTTTACTTGTAAATCAAATTGGAAAGGAATTATGATTAAATGGCTAAAAATCCTGAAGTAAAAAATGTACAACAAATACTAACTATAGTTAGTGAAATAAAAGAAGTTGTTCTAAGAATAGAGCAAAATATACAACAATCTGATTCGAGTAATCCAGAAACTAAATTATTAGAAATAGAAAGAGTTTTAAGAAATATTAAAGAAAAGAAGTCTATACCAACATATAGACCACCAAATGAATGAGACCTTAGTAATTTGTTTAAAAACGGAAGAAAAAGATTACCTGGAGAAAAATGAATAGTGATACTGATTCTACTCAAAGTGAAACTGATATTCAGTCTCTATTAGACAAATATCAGAATACATTATCCTTAAAAGAATTCGTTGGAAATTACAGCGACTCTAGTTCAGAAAGTGAAAATCCAGAACCAAAAAATCGTATAAATGTTAAAATTTAAGAAGATCTTAAGGATACTCCTCCAGGACCAAGCAATTATCAAGACACTCATGAGTATATGACTCCCGAAGAATACATAAACGATGAGTTCTATAATCCAAATGCAGATAGGTACTTTGGAGTATCTGATGAAGAAAAAACATTCCCAGAAATAAATATTCCAGGAATGATGAATATGAATCGAAGTAAGGCAAAACCTTACAAGAAAAATAAAACAAAGAATTATATTCCGAAGGAATTTATTTCTAAAGATAATTCTAATAATCATAGTGATAACATACTCAATCTAGATTGTTTGACAAAACCAGTTGAAACAATAAAAGGTTGGTATAATTATATGTTAGTAGTAATACAAACTAATAGAGAAGCATTTGGGATCTAAGAACATTAAAAACATATTTAGAACTTCATATGAAGGGAAATGTTAGAAACTGGTGGGATTCAAACCCATATATTCCAAGCCTTGATGCTCTTTGGAATAAACTAGAAGATAACATAGAATATCTAAATGCTTTGGCTAAACTACTCGTTAATAAATTTGTAGGAGTCAGAGAATTAGATAATACAAATGTAGTGTTAGAAGAAAGACAGAAAAAAGCAAAGTTCATACTTAACAATATTTAAATATGTGATATTTGTTATTGGAAAAATTTTACATGTGAATATGAAAAATGGTATTACTTGTTAAAAAAGAAGATAGACCAGCATATGCTGAAAAATACTTCAATAAATTGCCACCATTGTGGGCTTTTGAAATGAACAAAAAATGGTCTAATAAACCTGATCATATTACAGAAGGTTTTGCAGAAAGAGTAAATCTTCTTAAAGAAACCATAGAAGATAGATGTAAAGATACTCAATTAAGAGGGACTCTTGTATACTATCAAAACAAACCATGTTGTGATCCTCAATTATTAAAAATACCTAATAAATGGGGATGTAGAACTAAAAAAGAGAGGCATTCTAGGAAATTAAAATACCAGAAGTTTAAAAAGTATAAAAGGTACATTCCTAAATATAGGAAATACAGAAAAGAGAATCATAAAATGAACAAACCTAGATATAGAAGAAGAATTGAAAGAAAAGAAAAATATTGCCCAAATGGAAAAACTAACTGTAAATGTTGGTTATGTCAAGAAGAAGGTCATTATGCAAATGAATGTCCTAAAAGAAAAGAAAGTAAAGATAAAGTTAAAATGCTTTATGCAAGCCAAAAATTCAACTTTGAACCAATTGAATCTGAAAATGAGTCTAATGATTCGGATTATGAATTAAAATTTGAAATAGAATATAAACAATTCTATTCCAAAACAAACTCTAAATGGGAAAGTTGCACTGATGATAGTTTTGAAGAATTGAACAATTGATAAATATAACTAATCCTAATAGTACTTATATCAAGGTGGGTTTTAAATTCACTGGGTATAAACTATATCATCTTCATGGATATATAGATACAGGTGCAAGCATTTGTGTTGCACATCATTTTGTATTACCCATTGAAAAATGGGAAAATGCTAAACAAAAAATACTTTAGAAAAAGTGGCTTATAATGTCACTTTTTAATACCAGGAGAAAAATTTATAGTTCCTACTATATACCAACAAGATACGGGAGTAGACCTTTTAATAGGTAATAACTTCTTAAAATTATACAGACTATTTGTCCAAGAATTAAATTAGATACTGTTACACTTAAATGAAGTACCCGTTTATATAACAATAGTGCAGAAAGCTTATAGCTTTACATCTAAAGAATTTATGACAAATAACTCCAAACTACGAAAACGTGGTGAGGTTACTGAAATAAAAAAGAAAAAACATTGCAATAACAAATGAAACTAAAAATCCAGAAAGAGTTTTTATTCGAACCATGCAATGTAAAAGAATAATGGATACCTTAATATTTAAATATCAAATGCTTTATATGTTGTCTTTAGAATACTGTCAAAAAAAGTATTAAATAAAATAACGAGTGAAAATCCGTTAGATAAAATGCTTAATAAAAGCATAAAAAACCCAGCTTTACATGCTGAAATAAAATTAATTGACCCTGTAACAACAAATTTCGTGAATTGAATTTAAAAAAACACGAAAAATATTATTCAAA